TTTTGGAAATTTAACAAGCATTGTAACAGGCCGAGATCAGCAACCACTCTTTAAAGGTTCTCTGACTATGAAAAATTTGGTTTTCGATTATATTCCTTTGGAACTATGCTCTCTCTCTCTCAATTGCAAATTTTGGATCTTGTAGATAACAATCTGACAAGAAAGATTTCTCCTTGTTTTGGAAAGTTTTTGATTATCGTGAATGCAACACAATTGATCCATGACATAGATTATGCATATTGGGATGAGGCCACTTTGATGGAGGTTGTGAAAGGGAGATACCTAGAGTATACAAGAAAAACTTTGAGATTTGAGATTTGAGATTTGTATAGATCTTTCAAGTAACAATCTAATAGGATCCATATTAGAGGAGCTAAATTTCCTTAAGGATTCACACAATTTGAATCTGTTTTAGAATCATCTCTTAGGAAAGATCCCTAAGAAAATTGAACAAATGGAGAATTTGGAATCTCTCAATTTCTCCAAGAATGGCCTCTCAGGAACAATCCTGAACAACATGTCAAGTTTAGCCAAGTTAAGCCACCTCAACTTGTCCTACAACATCTTGTCAGGGCTAATTCCAACAGGTTATCAACTCCAAACACTTGAAGATCCAACTATGTATGCAGGCAATCCTTAACTCTATGGAGCTCCACCCCTAAAGAAATGCTCAAATGATGCACTACCTCCGACAACCGCTAGCTTCAAGGACAACAATAAAACTACACTTAAAAGCACGTGATTTTACATTGTTGTGATGTTAGGCTTTGTAATTGGATTATGAAGAGTCATGGGAACTTTGATTTTTGTGAAAAGTTGAAGATATGCTTATTTTCAAAGGGTGGATGATGTCCAACATTGGATACTTGTGGTTATAACATTGAAGGTGGCATGATTCAAAAAGATATTCAATCGCAACCCAAGATGATCAGTGAGTTATATATACAGTATGTTGTTATTGCTACATTTATTATTAAGTTAGTTAGACAACCTCGTGTTGTAGGGTATGGTGTCAGGCCTAACTTTGAATGGCCCAACATTGAATAGGTTAATTTTAAATAAACACATGAGTATTAGAGTTTGTAAAGTTTTTAATAATATAACATAGACTACAATTCTATAGGTTTCACAAAAATAAAATTGCATAGATTCTAACAGAAAATAGAGAATTCCGTGCAAGGCTTTCAGATTGCATGGATTCCTATCTTTCTAGTTTTGTTAAAAAAAGAAAGTAAAAAAAATAAAGCAAAAGATGAAAGAATGAAAGAATGAGATAAGAAGAATGGCTCAACTAAGTATACAATAATAGCCAAAGTAAAGTCCTCACACATTCATGATCAAAGTTTGGAATTTTAATCACACACAACCAAATTGCTTAATTGAGTATCCAATATAATGCTACTCTTATGTAAAATTCCCATGTCTTCAATATTTCCTAAAACACATTTTCACATAACATAAGGTATATTAACTATAGACTCATAAAACACTGTCAAGGCTAAATAGTAAAGTTCATTATGTTATGTTAACCTTGAATAGCTAATGGATTCTTGCAACAAAAAATCAAACACAATTGATCATTTGTTGTTTTTAATCTTATGTCAACACTCTCGATATATAAGAGGCCTAAAAGCTGAAGCACACAATGCATAAGAACCTGGTAAACTTCAAGAATAAAATGAATATCCACAAAGAATAAGGATTAATACCTTGAGTTGCCTTCTCCCAACAAACCATCTTCGAATAAAGGCACTAAAGAAGAGTATATCTAAGTGAGAAAAATATACAGATAATTTTGGTGTTTTTCATTTGGAAGATAATGTTGGTATAATTTTTTAAAAGAAAAATAAAATATTCAGGTGGTGCTTTTGTGGCCAAACCTTGAGTCTTCTTCATCCAGCACACTCATGAAGGTGTAGATGCCACCATAGCAACTATGAAATGACTAAAATGTTTTCAATCCGCAAAATGAGTTACATTAAGAAAATTATGCAACTAAAGCTATAAGAAACCTATGGGATAAGATTGTAGGTCTCCATCATGTACATGATAACATAATATATGTGTAGCCAAATTGGATAGCAAATCCTACTACTTAAACAATATTCCCAAAGTAAACAACTCTCACTTCATATCTTTATTTCTATTTCCATCTCTACTACTTATAAAAGAGTTTAGATTTTAAGTTCAGAAGTCTTAAATTCAAATTTTTGTAACAGACTAAGAGGGGTAAAAGAGATTTAGAAAATAAGAAATAATTATCACCTTTTTTATTCAAGGGAAAGATGAAGAAGAAGAAGCAGAAAATTGAAGGGGCCAAAAAGATAAATACAATTCATTGAAGAAATTTAAAGAAAATGAAATGAACTCACAATATCTAGCCAATTGGTTAAGGCAAAGTTGGTGAAGAGGAAAAAGAAGACTCATACCCTAAACTAAAATGTGAAAAATTGTAGAATCACAAAATGAAAATTTGCACAGCTTAAAAGTCGTGTCTCTTTTCCAAACACCATCTTTCCAGTCATCAATTGCAAACCATCCAAAAGTCAATCTATGCTCTCCCCCTTTGAGATACTATATATGTTTGTAGCAATGTTCAAGCATTTTATATTTGACTTCAAAGGCAAGATTGCTGAATTAAGCCTACTTAAAATTGGTATATGTTCTCATTAAAAAAAAAAATGCTAGTACATATTGATTCCTTGCAAATATGAATTTAATCTTCTCTTCTTAAAACTCTAATAATCATGAATAGCTAAGAACAAGAAAATTTGAGATAAGATGAAGAAAATTACCCATGTCAATCCATTATATCATATCAACTTCTCATCTCAAAGTTTTATTGCATTTGGCTGTCCCTATCTTCCAATTAAAAGGAGTTGTTCTTAACTATGAAAGCAATACATTGTGCATGGTTCCAAACTCATCTAGTTAACATAAATAAGTTCCATTATTCATCATTTCAAGCTTAATATCTAACAAATTAAGCTCATAATCTTAAAGCAAAACAGCTCCAGATGTTTTGCCTACACTAAATTCAATTTTACTAATCTATCATTCA